GAATGTACCTACCTATATAGTTTAAGTTTAAAAAATTTGGCTCTCAAAAGAAATTTCAATCGTTGTACTGTTGATATTTGGCTCTGTTAACTAATGCATTTGCCGACCACTGGCCTATACAGCCTTCACTAGGCAGAGACTCCTGGGGCTAGAGCCCTGTTGACCAAGCCCATGTGCTGGCTCCTGGTGGCCGGGGCACCTCACACTGCTCACTCCCACCCTGAACACATGGCCTGTGCTCCATGGATGTCGGTCCTCTCTCTCCCTAAGGTCCCTGTGCACGTGACCACTCTCTTAATCCCAAGCACCTGGCCCTCAGAGTCCAGGAGCAGGAAGCGACTCACCCTGAGCTGGACCACTGGGGGAGGTGGTGGCAAACGGGTTCTTCCCCCGGCTCCAGGGACCCCAGGAGAAGCACGCCAACAGCGCCGGGAGGCCGGGTCTCTCCCAGGCTCCTTCTGCTGAAAGGAACACAAAGTCCCAGAGGCAGCAGGTCACATGGTGCTTGACACAACTCAGAGATTTTCAGTGAAGCAAACCAAGAGCTTCAACTATTAACTGCCCTAGTTTCAACTGCCTGATTAAAAACAAAGATTCTGATTTGCAAAAGGGGGTGGAGTTTTTATACTTAAAACAAACAAACAAAAACACAAACAGCCCTGGCCATATGGCTCAGTTGGCTGGAGCGTCGTCCTGTACACCAAAAGTTGTGGGTTCGATTCCAGTCAGGGCACAAACCTAGGTATTAGATTTAATCTCTGGTCAGGGTGCTTTATATAAGGATTGCTTTATACATATTATATCATTTCTTCCTCACAAAGACTCTATGACGTAGGTACCATGTTGGAGAAACTACCTTGATAAGAATGACATGATATGAATTACAATTATATAGCACCAACGAAAATACTCAAGGAGCGGTAATTTCCCCGCTTTTTAGTTCAAACTATTTCTTAATACGAAAAGGCTTAATCTTTTTAAATAATCACATACAAAACACTTATATGTTGATTCTAGTTTCCTTATTATAGCATCATCTAAGTGATGTAGGGATCACGTAAGAGCCCCAACCATGTGGAATAAGGTAACTGCAATGGAGTTAAACACACACACACACACACACACACACACACACACACAAAAACACCCCAGGAAGCCAAAACAAAATCAGTGTTCGTTTTTCTTTACGTGGGGCTTATTTACTCTTAATTCGCACCCAGTTCTAAAAAGACTGGATTCCTAGTTTTTCAACCCATTGGCAGCTGGATTAGGCATAAACTGGGTAAGAGGGCATGTCAAGAGGCAGGCAATCTAAAAGTATAAGAATAACCAGGAGGTAGTGAGGAAGGGGATGGGGAGACTTTAAAAGCCACATGCAATTGCTAGGAAAACCTTAGCATCATGAATGTGTGAGTGGTGCTGCCCACTGCAAAAGCCCAGACAAAATTAGTGGACAAATAAATTAGTGGACAATAATCACGCTCATGACCTGTAGTCATTAGTAAAAGGTTTCATATTGTTTAGTGTGTTTTTATAAAAGTAGAAATGAGTTTAATGCAGTAGAGATCAATTCAGTGTTTAAGAAGAGGTAAGGATTCTGCATGCCAGGCAGGTCATGGGAAATGGGAATATAGTGGTGATTAAACTCATAAGCAAAGGTGACAAAACCATTGGTAAGAAACTAGAGAGTGGCGGTAGGTTTGAGGATTTCATTTTTGAACCTGTAAAGGAGTAAGGGAGGTCAGGGAAGACTTCTTGGAGGAGGAAGTCCAGTTCTGAATGATGAAATGGGGTTGGTCAGGTGAGGAGGTGAAATGAAAGAAAAGGCCTTAAAAAAAAAGAAAGAAAAAAAAGGCCCTTAAGGCTTTCATTCCAGGCAACTGCAATGTGTATACAAAAGCTTAGCAGGCCAGAGCAAGCTCGGCTTTGGGGGATTAAAAGCTATTTCCTGGGGAATGGGAGAAACTAAGGGCTCAGAATTTTCCAGGCACCAGCTCATTGGGGGTGGGGGAAGATAGAAAATGTCCTCCCATGGGGCCAGGCCCACCATCAGAATGACAGTCCACCTCAGGACATTCCCTGTCTTTCCAGATGCAGGTTGTGGAGTTTCGAATTTAGCCGGCTTCCTCACAGATGCAGCAGAAAGGGCTGTGGGCATGGGGGGTGGGGGTGGGGGGGATGGTTAGGGCAGGTTCTACAGGTGAGACGGATGGCCTCCACCTAGGCAGGCCAGGCTGGCAGGTAGGTCTGTGACATTTGTGACTTCAGAGGTACAGTTCTCCTTGCTGGAACCGCCCCTCCCCCCCCAAGTCTGGCACCTCCGGGTTGCTGATTAACACAGCAGTGTCCAGGGAGGCAGAGCACAGCAGCCTCTGTCTTCACAAGAAAGTTTGGCAGATAATGGAGGGAAGGCCAGAGGGCTTGGAGAAGAGCAGCTGCTGGAGGTGGGGGAAGCAGGGAGTGCAAAGAATGCTCCAGTATCTCCCAGCTGTGACAGATCCAGCTATACTTAATGTCCGTATTTTTATCCGAGGACACTGGAAACTCCTGGAAAACCTTGTGTACCAGGAGGGAGGAGATTCTGACTCTTCTGTGGATGGCAGCAGCAGACCCTCACTCTGCTCCCCAAACTTCAGGAGAGCGTGAAGGGAAGGGAGGTGGCACTGCAGTGGCTGCACAACCAGGGCGGGTAGCCAAGAGGGACTCGAACATTCTGTGTCCTCAGTCAGTCCCTCACACCCTTTCCCCACACCTCCAAGTCCCAGCACCTATTCCTTGCCTTCTTCCTATGACCCGCGGCGCTTACGCACTGAGCCTCCTCCACCTTCGCATCCTTAGGTGCGCAGCGTCCCAAGAGCTCGAGGCACCACCAATCCCCTCCCTCCAGTCCTAATTCGGTCCTAATCCCTCCTTGAAATGTGTGCACCCCAAGGCTTTCCCATCTCCTCGCACTCCTCTCTCTCCCCAGCTCCCAGTACAATCTTTGACCAGCGCAGTACAATCCTCTTGCTCCATCAACTTCCCCCGCCTTCTGTTCGTTCCCTCGGCTTTCCCAAGCCACTGTCCCCCATGCTTTCAGGATCCTCCCGGGACAAACTCGACCCCTGTCCCAGGGCCTGCTCCGCGCTAGCTGGGAGGACCAACGCTAGGCACCTCCCCTCTCGGGGCCTCAGTTTACCTCGGTGCACCAGGGGGCTGGCCTAAAGAGTTCCAACTTCGGGGCCTTCCCCCAGCCACCGCCCGCCTGCGCCCCCTC